AAAAAATTAAAAAAAAAAAGAAAAAAATATATATACATATAAAATAAAATAAAGTAAAAGGAGAAGCAATAATTTGGTCGAACTTGAAAACTAAAAATGGGCAAATTTGTCTCAAAAATTGGATAATGTACAATTTTCAAGTATGAGCTTTAAATTCTTTCTTTGTCCTATAATGTATTTTCGTGCAAGCACGCGCAATTCTTGTACTGTCTGGACTTTCTTTTTTCTAACATGCATTGTTTTACCTTTAGGTCATACGTTGTTTGTATGCTTTTGGTCTGCTATTTATATGTTATACCTGGTGTGTAATAGTATTGATAATTAACTGGTAAAAGATGAAATAGTTTTTTAAAAAAATAGTAGGAAAATAAATGGAACATAAAAAAAAATCTAATAAAAAGAATGAAATATGAAGAATGAGGTTTATGATTGATATATATGATGGGAAAATATAATGATAAATTTTTTATTTTTTAAAGTGAAAATAACCATTAGGTAGGTCTATACCCAATTAATCGTAATTCTTTTGTAACGAAAATGTAAATTAATGTTATTAAACATAATTATACTTTAATTTATTTTGATTTTAGAGTATGATATATTAATTTGAAAACATGTATAACCATTGGAAAAGTATTAGTACACGACTAATAGCGGTATTATGGAATTTAGTATATGAAAGCAAAGATAGATTGATGATTGGAAAAGGCAATGTAAAAAATAAACTCACGTAACTAATATGGAGAATTTTATTTTGCTCTATTTTATTGGTTTTCTATACGTGGAACAAAATTAAAATAAATAAAAGTCAAAAAGGTTGCAAGAAAATACATCCCTGCACCAAAAAAGATGAAGAAAAAACAGGTTTGCAATCCGAAGGCACGGAATGTTAATATATAGGCAACAATTATAGTCCTTTTTTTCTTCTTTCGGTGGAAAAAAAATAAAAAATAATATAAAATCATTTATGTTTGTCAAAAAGTCATGCAATTTGTCCAATCAATTAAAATCAGGCGTTGGCTTTGTTCACACTGTGTATTTGCTTGAGCTCAATGCACATTCTATATATTTAGGAAATTTGAAGCTTTATTTGTTTGTTTTTTTAGGAGAATATACTTTCCAAAAAATGAGATTAATTTTGCAATCTTCTTTGTCAATTACCATTTTCATCCTTTGAAAAGGGTATGGGTAATGTTCTGCAATCTCTTTTATCTTATTTTTTCATTCATAAGTCAAAAGTTATCAGNTGATGCAAGGACATATTAGATAAGCCCACAAAACGCCCCCTGAAAAACCATTCTGGTATATCTATTCATATCTTGACGTATCTTTACATTTTGTTGTTTAAAGTGTTTCCAAAAAAAACGCTATTTATTATAATCTTCTGATTTTCAACTTGACATTGTGACTTTCAAAGAGTTTCCAACAATCTATAAAACGCACATAGAATATGTTGTTCTACAATCTCATCTTTGTACCAAAACAATAAAAATAATAATAATTTAGTATAAAGGTAAAAATTATTATTGAATTAATGTAAATTAAATGAATTCATTGTACACAATATTAGTGTTAATCATGTATGTCCTAAAATAAATATTTCCAGACAAGTTTGTCATTTGAAATATGTCCTTTATTGATGGGGGAAATGACAGATAATAATTTTCATAATAATAAATTGTTCCCTCAATATAATAAACTTCATGGTCACTGAAAGTGTAACTTGAGGTTGTTATGTAGTATATGACCAAAGCAAGTGCATGCTTGATTAGAAATTTCCAATCAATATTTAACGACTTTTAACTAATTAATCATTTTTTCAACTCATAATCTAACTCTAACTCGACCATACTATTCTCAATGTTATCAATATAATTAAACAATATATTAATCAGTCATTCTTTCATATCACATCTATTTTAATTTACTATTCATCCACTCACATAATTTTAACTATTTATCACTTTCAATCACCATTCTCTTACTTCTACATCAAATCAACTTTAACCATTTTATTTTAAATATTATTCTAATACAAACATAAAATTCCACTCAAACTTATTTCAATCAATTTTTTTAAAATTAACTATGATTGCTCAAAACAATACAAAAGCTAGGGATAAAAGATACTAAGAAGGGAGAAAATGACATCTATAAAATTGCAAAGCAAAGGGAAAAGAAGACAAAATACTTAAACGAAAATTAAATGCATAGAAGATGAAAATGAAAAGATATTAGTTGGTGATAAAATAATAAAGGATCAGTGGAAGGATTATTTTCATAAACTATTTAATGGAGTAGACAATAAGGAAATATCGCTAGAGAAATTAGAAAAAAATGAGAAATACAAAAATTTCACATAATATAGCAAAATCCAAACTAAAGAAGCAGAGAAAGTAATGCAAACAATGAAAAATGACAAAGTCGTATGTCCCATGATATTCCAATAGAGGCATGGAGATGCCTTGGTAATTTGGAATTGAATGGATTACGATCTGAACTTGTTTAACATAATCATGAAGGTTAAAAATGTCTAACTGATGGAGAAAAAGTACATTAATACCTTTGTTTAAAAATAAAAAAGACATACAAAATTGTGCAAACCACATGGACATAAAACTAATGCGCCACACAATGAAATTATGGAAGAGAGTAATAGAAGCTAGACTAAGGCAAGAAATAAACATTATTGAAAATCAATTTGGCTTTATGCCGGCAAGATCAATAATGGAAGTTATTCATGTAATAAGGAAACTTTGTGAACATTTTAATGAGAAAAAACAAAATTTGCATATTCATTTTATTGATCTTGAAAAAACTTATGATAGTGTTAATAGAGGTATAATGTGAACAGCGTTAGAAAAGAGTGGGGTGCGAGTTGGTTATATAGAAATCATAAAAGATATGTATAATAACGTTAATGTACGTCGAACACCCTGACCGGATGGAAATCGGCTCGCATTCGTCTCCTCGCCGGTAGAACGCCGAGTACCTGCAAAAACTCTAACACCGGACGGGTTTTTCGGTGAAAAGCCTCTAATGTTTAAGTAAGTACTATAAGCTCCACTCAGTTCTCTAGAGTATAATAGAAATGTCATGCTGAAATCGTAAGTCTCAGCCCTATATATAGGGGTAAGATACCTGTTTCTAGAAGGCTGTCAGGATGAGCTGAGCTGGCTGTCCAACGTTGCCCGGCCTGCCCGGTCATACAACACACACTGAAGGTGTTTCAGAGACGGTTATGCGATATGGACCAATCAAGTCGTGTCACGTGTCCTCTTCACGTGGGATCTTGATTCCTCTGAGATCTCCTCAAAGGCTCGAATGCTTGACCAAGTCTAGGTCGATTTGGGGTGAAGCAATGACCGCTTTGCATCTGCGTTTTGGCCATTCAGACAACCATCTACTGTTGTAGATCAAGTTCGACTAAGCTATTCAAGGGCTCTGGCTCAACATATTCTTCTTGTACCGAAATCTCCTTTAAGTTGTCCCGTTCCAAAGGCTCTCGTTCCTGTGATATTCAATTATGGCCACCCCATTTGTACTTTGTTCAATCAGGGCGGTTCGACCAGTTTACTCTTTTGGGTATATTATCCCATATGAACGTGAAAACTTGTGTTAGGACACCGGTAGAGAATTGGGTGAATTCCCTATTACTATTGGTTTCCATCAAGATTCGGTGTTGAGTCCGTATCTATTTGCATTAGTAATTGATGAACTCAAAAAGCATTTGAAATTGGATATCACCGATTGCATGTTGTTTGCGGATGACATAGTGTTAGTAGATGAGACAAAAGAGGGGGTAAATGCTAAGTTAAAAACATGGAGAGATGCGTTTAAAATAAAGGGTTTTAATATGCATAGGGCGAAAATGGAATATATAGTGTGTAAATTTAGTAATCAAAGAAGTAATAATGGGGTAAAAGTTAAAATTGTAGAGTAGGAATTGAACACAACTAAAAGTTTTAAATATGTAGGATTCATTCTAAAGATAATGACAATATAGATAAGGATGTAACACATAAAATCCAATCGGGTTGGAACAAGTGGAGGAGCGCGTCGTCAATACTTTGTAATCGTACAGTACCAGTGAGTTTGAAAGAAAAGTTTTATCGAACGATAATTCGATCGACGATTCTCTATGGATCCGAGTGTTGGACTACCTAATATGAAAATGATAAAAAAAATGGGAGTGGCAGAGGTAAAAATGTTGAGATGGATGTGTGGGCATACTAGGTTAGACAAGATTAAAATAAACATATAAGAAATAAAGTTGAGGTAGCACCCATAGAGGAAAAAATGAGAGAATCACGATTAAGATGGTTTAGACATATGCGTGGGAAAGACTTCGAGGCACCAGTGAGAAAGGTAGAAACATTAGAATTAAGAATGCAACTTAATAGAAAATAAAAAATGATTTAAAAAATCTAAATTTGAATGAAGATATGTGCCTTGATCGAGCACGATGACGACATGTGATCCATATAGCCGAACCCACTTAGTGAAATTTTAACGGGTTGTTAATTGATTGATTGACAAACTTAAAATCTCACTCAAACCTATCTCAACTAGCTTTTTCAAAATCTATATATATATAATTGCTAGCCTTTCATTTAATTTTACCTCATAAATAAAACCTAACAAATTTTAAGTAATAAATAATACAAACTTTCCAAACACAAAAACCGTTACTTTTACAAAATACATCAATTTTGGACAGTTACAAAATCTATATATATATAATTGCTAGCTAATCCGATTTAATAAAACATTTAATAAAAATATTTTCACTTTCCCTCCAAAAGTAGTTACATTTTTTTTAATTAATTACTCATTAATCTCACATTTAAGAAGATTTTTTATAGTTAAATTTAATTAGTTAATGACTAAATTAAAAAGATTTATTTTAATTAATCTTGCATTTATGTTAAGTACAGTATTATCTTTATCTTATCAGTTTTTCAAAAAAATAGTAACTTTTTTCAATAAATTTTATAAAAAATAGTCAAATGTGCTTATATTCATATGAATCAGAAAAAAAATTAAATCTTAGATATATAAAAAGAACATCGTTGAAATAACTTGAATCCGCAAGGGTAATTCTATACTCATTATCAATTATTTTAAATTTTTTGTTTATATTAAAAATTAATATTATATTTACTCATTTATATTTAGATGGTATTTTTTTTATTAAGAAGCAAGGACAATCTCTATCAATCAATAAGAGTCAAGGACAAACAATATAAAGAAGTGTTTCCTATGCTATGACATGATCAATAAGAGTCGAAGACAGTCTCTGTCGCACGTCGGCTTACTACTGAAGAGCTCTGCATTTAGTCATGAGCAATTATACGTGGCGCTTTTTAAAGTTACGAGTCAGTGGGGTTTGAAGATTTTGATTTGAGCTGAGGGAGATTTTGACGATAGAAAAACCACGACGCTGTTTTATAAAGAAGTGTTTAAGAATATTTATATTTTTTTTCTTAATTTTTTTCAATAAATTTGTTATGATTTTTACTATTGTTTATAATTTTTATTATTTTTTCATGTATCATATAGTTTTCCGTGCAAATGCACGGGACAAAAACTAGTCTAAACTAATGACCACTATTTTATCTAAGTATATCAATTTAGGTTAATTAACTAAAAATATTTACTTTTTAATTTCTTATATAACCATTACTATGCTAACTTAATTACGAATTATTTATTATAGAAACTCATGATTACATAAACATGTATTCAGAATATAAATTTTTAAAAAAATTTTTTATAAATGTTTATTTGAAATATTTATTGTTTTTGATGATATCACTACAATAATTGTTCATGGTGAAAATGGAAAATACAGCACATGTACAACATGGACAAATACACTAACAACAATACAAAATAATTTCACCAGCTCTGGAAATTGTATCATATAATAGTTATTATTACAATTAATAATTATATTTTACACCAAATGATATGTGAAAGTTACATAAACATAAGAAACTATATTGTAAAAACTTTTTATTCGGGTAATTTATTATAAAATCAATATAATATTTCTTTATCTGCTTAAGCGATTACTTTTTAAATAAATTAATTTTTTTTAATGGCATAGTAAAATTCCTTAAAATCGCATAAGCAATTGTTATAGTAAATTTAATTTTTTTTAGCTAATTAATTAGTCAGTCTCTTAAAATTTCAAAAAATACATTATTTATTTTATTTTATGCAATAAATATAGTGATTCATATACAATAAAATCGTTATGTACTATTTATTTTAACCATTGATCAAATTTTAAATCATAATACCTTTACTTAACTTATAATTTTAATATTATATGCATAAATAGAACTTATAACACCTTATGTTTAAAATATAATATCATTATCTAACTTAAAATTTTAATATTATATACATACAAATAACTTATAGTAATACTTTATTTACATCTATGCAAATGTACAAAATCGAATACTAGTTAACTATAGTTACCCAAAACAAACCAATCAAAACCAAAATATTCAGTCACAAACTTATATCCTCAAGCACCCTAATGCATCATATTTAAACTCTAAAACATAAAAATAAATAAACATAAACACCCAAAGTAATTCACCATAGAAGCAAATCAGCATCTACATGAGAATTCTTTTCCCAAAGTAATTCACCACAGAAATAATATTATAATATATCCACTCACTATAAGACAATTCAGGTTCAAAACCATCAAACATCTTAAGTTAAGCTAAGGCAAACAACACTGAAGAAGTCACATTTTTCTTTTCCCTTGTTTCACTTGTATCTTGAGTGAAATAACTCTATGCATTTTCGTCATAAACAGGAACTACATAAAGCACCGTGAAGATCCAAGGATTGTGTATTTCCAAAGAGAGAGCAACATAAACAAGAATTAAAAAAGCTCTCACTGCAAATAGGAAACACAACAAAACAACCGAGACCCTGCGCATACGTTCGTGACAACCACCAATCGAGAGAGATAGATAGATAGACAGAAAGAGAGTAACGAATGCGACTGTGATGAAAAATGCCGTTCCATCAAATTTGCAGCCACAAGTCAACCAACCCCTAAGGTAAACGGCGCAAGTACTTACCCTTAACGTCCTTAGACTTGGATTTTTTGACGGGGCTCTTTTTCTTCACTCCCAAGTAATTAAAATCCTCATCCTCGTCATCATCCGTATCGACTTGTCTCGTGGACTCTGAGCGCATGCGGTTCGGAATGTAGACGTTGAAGTAGTAATTCACAATGTCTTTCCCGGTTTTATTGGGAAAACACTTGAGAGCTCGTTTCAAGAAGCTCTTCCCATCGTTGGAATTCTGCCTAGTTTTCAACAGAGACTCGTAACGGTTTTTCTCCTTCAACGACCACGACTCGGAGACCCGTTCGCCCATCTCATCAAATTTCCAAATAAAAAACGCGAGACCCAAATCACGCTGAAGAGCCCGCTTCTCGTCGAGCACGTGCCGTCTAACGCAGTCAGACGAACCGCGAGACACACACGAACAAGAGTCGGGCCTTCCCTTTCCTATCGCTTTTCCAGCTCCTTTGTTGTTGTTGCCACGGGTTTGAGTGGGCCAGACCCGAGTTCCCAACCATTTGGAATCATCATTGGGCTTTTCTGCAGGCCCGGCCCATTTAGGGACGTCGGCCTGGAATCTGGGCCCAACAGGGACAACTTTCTTTTGGAAATGATCGCTTACGATATTCAGCAACCACTTTGACTGGCGGGAAGGCTTTCTGCGGGCCGACCCATTAGGAAATGATTCTATTGGGCTCAGATGGTTAGGGTTCGGGCCTTTTACAGAATCATCGGAATCTACATTAGGAGGTGTGTTATTATTGCTGCAGAGGCAGTTAAAATCGAGTGCATCGTCTAGGAGTGAATATTCGAATGTGAGTAAACTGGTGGAAGCATGAGGGTCGAAGGTAGTTTTCTCGTGCAGGCATCGAGTGGAGTTGGATGAATTAAGCAAACACGAAGAAGTTGGTGAAACGTGGGAAGACTGTTTCCTGCTCGTTTTCCTCGTATTATTCTCTTTGTTTGGGGAACCAAAAGGAGAAGGAGGTCTCAGCTTATCTTTTACGAATTGCTCGAGTTTGCGCTTTCTCTGTCGAAAAAAAAAAAAGGTCATTTTGAGTGAAAAAGATGCAGTTTTTAACACCAAGATCTATTTAAGGATCCGAAAACCATCCAATCAGAATGGATTCTTTTATTCATTACATAAAATTCTGACATAGACAACCATTAAACTTCAACAAAACTATGTATAATTAATAAACATCATAACATAATAACCAGAGGATTTGACATCAAAGTACTTGGAGCGTGTTTGGTAAGCATCACAAGCTAACTTAAAGATTATTTAGTTAGCTTATAAGCTTCTTATATTTAAATAAGCTTGGTTTGGTAGGGTTAGGGCTGCAAACGAGCTCGAGCGCTAAGTCAAAGCTCGAAGTCGAACCCAATTTTTCAAAGGTCGAGCCGCTCGACGAGGGGCTCGAAATATGCGGTAAAATACTTAAATACCCTTTATATATATGTAATTCACAAAATTGCCATTGGTGCATAATTTATAGTTGTTAAAATTCGAGCCGAACTCGAGTCGATCTCGAGCATCGAACCAATCTCGAGCATCGAACCAATCTCGAGCATCGAATCGATCTCGAGCATTTCCATTTGTTTCATGAGTCGAGCTTGAGCGTCATTTTCATGGCTCGTCGAGCTCGAGCAATGAAAACAAAAATCGAGCTCGAGCTCAACAAAGTCCATGCTCGACTCGGCTCGATCTTTACTTCACTTGTCTTATCACCTAATTTTACCATATATCAACTAGCATTCTTTTCAGCCATAAGCTACCATTTATAAGCTCGAAATTCACTTATCAACTATCAACTAACTTGTTATCTACAAGCTAGTTTTTCAGCTGTATTTACCAAACATAACCATATAAATATCGCTAATGCATAGGCACAAACTCAGAGATAACCACGAGAGCTTTAGAATTAATAATTATAGGATGTCCACACGTGACTATTTCGCCTAAAATCAGTTGGCATACTCTTAACCTTATAGCAAACATGTCCAAGCTTCCGGTAAATCTGGAACAGGTATAGGCTTCAACACCTCGCCTTAAAAGGGTGTTCCAAAAATAAACAAATAAATATCAACAAGAGAAAAAAAAAATCAAAGATTTATTGTGATGTGATCCTCAGCCTACTCGGCGCCAAAACGTTTGCTCTACTATCACATTTACAATTCCGCGCTCATACACCCATAAAAAGGCATAATATAATTTAGATTCTTCATATATTTACTGCTCCACAAAAGAACATACAGTCTAAGTCTTAAATTAGTACCTACTGCAAAACAGACTGGAGTTACTCCCCTAACATCAAGTCGCATGATTTACCCCACTAACATCACATTGCACGATGCTATGCAGATTGCAGATAATGTTTTACTAATATTTATGATCCAACAAGATCCAAGGACTCATAGTTAACCAGGATTATTAAAAACATAAACCATTTTGACATCTCAAAACTCACGAATCTAACATAGTACACTGTACATGAGCCAAAAAGTTGTCCACCTCAATTCCAAATCTTGCCCTGACGGGAATAAACACTCTAAAATTGTCGAGGAAATAATTAGAGAGGATAACAACAGGGTCAACATAACAGTAACATATCCATAACATACAAATTTCTCATTAACATACTAATTAGCACTTTATCTAGTATGAGAAATTAATTTACCTCATCCATCAACTAAAATTAGACAACATTAGTTCAAGATTCTCATTGGCATGCTTTCCAATTTTGACAATAGTGGTAAACAAAAGGAATTGTACGAGGAGATAAAGTGCTTGTTTGGGAGTACTTCTGGAAAAGTTCATTTAAAAATGGACTTATTCAAAATGGACTTCTCAAAAATCTCCATCCTTTACTTCTGCAGAATTGACTATTTGGATAAACAACTTATCCATGAATCCATTCTTAATTTAGCACCAAACATAAATATTTACACTCCATTTGAGAAGTGTTTCCAAAAAAGCTTAAAACAAGGAATGGAGGTTATGAGGAAAAATAAGAAGTGCCCAATTCTACAGAGAAGATTCTAAACACCATAATCATTTAAGATGCACATATTATTATGCAAATTAACAAAAAACATAATATATACACGAGCTTCATAGCCTGGTGATCACTCTAATAAGGTGTCCTCAATGTTCAAATAGGTATAACTCTCTCCCTCATCCCCCTCAACACACGCACATAATGATACATAAATAAGGCATGCAAAAATTGAGGGGCATGTCTTTTGATTCGCAACATTAATCGAAGTAAACTAGTAAAGCAAGTCCAATCCAACACATGGACATCCCAAACCAATAATTAATCTGAACATTAGTTATCAAGCTTAGGTATGTATAAAACCAGGCTGTCTTTTGAGAAATAAGAATAAACAAATAAAAAAGCCAATGCGTACTGTTACTTAAATATCTACTCTATCATAACAGTATGTAACGAACGGAGCAAATGAAAAATGTATAGGAGCTTACCCAAGGAATTTCAGAATCTTTCAGAACCATCACTTTTCTAAGCTTCACAATCTGATTACGGAAAGCCTGAATATTATCGCGCGCAAACTGTGGATTATCAGGATCGACTGCAAGTGCTTTTAGCTTAGATACAATTTCTACCTCAGAGTATTTTCCGAACATCGAATTTCGTTGCACATCACCTATGCCGCTAATGTGAGCCGTGTCGACACTTTTCTTCTCCTTCTCTCCCGACTGCCTTTTCTTCTCCTTCTCTCCCGATTGTCTCTTCATCCTTTGGCCGACTAAAAATCAATGATAACAGTCCTCTTTTTTCCAAAATTCAATTCCAAAGCAGCTCAAACGAAGAAAGTTATAGCTCAACTGTTGTAGCTCCCAAATTCAAATTCTGAAACTGAAAAAATCCCGAACTCCAAATTATTTACATCAATAACAAAAATAATAGTAGTAGACTACACAATTCAATCAATCAATCAACAAGCCGTTAAAATTCCACTAAGTGGGGTCGGCTATATGGATCACATGTCACCATCATGCTCAATCAAAGCACATATCCTCATTCAAATTTAAATATTTTAAATCATTTTTTATTGTCTCCTTCCAAGTTTTCTTAGGTCTATCCCTCCCCCTTTTAGTTTGTGGTTCTTAATTCTAATATTTCTACCTTTCTCACCGGTGCCTCGAAGATAAAGTACCAAACAATAAAAAAAATGACAAAAGATAAAGTACAAAAGAATATCCAGCTGATAATTTCACATGTCAAATGAGATCAGATAGCATTAAATACAGTAATTAGCTAAGCTAGAGACCTTAAACCTGACCACATGTAATCAAACAATAATCTAAACTTCAACTTCAGCAAATATGAGCTTAAATATCCAAAACCCATTTAACCAAATCTTAAAAAGCAGCTCAATACACGCACACACAAGCTAAAACAAATTCCAAATCCATTCAAAACATAAAAACCAGCACGCACGCGCACACACACACAAGCTAAAACTACTTCAAAACCCATTTCACAAAATTTTAAAAACCAGCAGAAATACACACACACACACAAACACAAAAAAAAAAGGAAAAAGAAAACTAAAACTACTTTCAGAAAACAAACACAAACAACATACCGTAAACTACACATACATTCACAAATCTCGTCAACATGCTACATAATGCATAAAACTGTAAGAAATTTGCATCTAAACAAACAGCGAAAGTAGGAATCGCAGCTCTGCTTCTGAACAAAAAAAAATACATAAAATTTAAAAATAAATATTAATTAATAATTTAATAATAATAATATTATGACCTATAATAATGAAAAAAATATATACATGGCGATAAAAGTAGTATTAGGAAACAAAATTAATAAAACTGAAAACAAATATTGGTAACAAAAAATCTGCAGCGTACACAAAATCGGGTCGCATTTACAGCGCAGACATTCCGCGGAAATGGAGGCGAATCGACCCGACCGGATATTGGGGCTCAGATGAATATTGTTGACGCTAAATTCGTAAATATTGGTTTTTCTTTTCTGTTAATTAAAAATTTTCAGCTATTTCTGAAATTGTGTAGCGGGCATATGGATCCTGATTTGGATCTGGATCAGGAAGTTATGATAATTGTATTTTGGCCCTCAAACTATTACTATGTTGTTATGTGAGACTTTTGTGCTTTGAGTTCCTACCTATCATAAATCATTAATTGACATTTGACACATATGGAACTCCTTATTTATAAGGATAGGTCTTTCGTTAGACCGACCTGTCCACATAAATTTGTCATAAATTTACTTAATTTTAATTGAATATGTCATACTTTAAAAAATAAAATAAACAAAAGTATAAAATGTCATAACATAAAGTATAACTTTTTGTTTATATGATATGACAAATCGATTTATGATAGGTAGGAACTCAAAGCACAATTTTCGGCAATTAAATCAGATGATATGAATCAAAAAATTGAACCAGATGATGATTCCTCACGAACAATCATGATCAAAGGAAACACACAATTTTCGGCACGGTCTTTTTCAATTAAATCGTTCTATTTCTGTACTGAATTGTTGGAGAATATAAGATATGTGATAAATGTGAGGACTATAGCCTATATATACCATTCCTAATCACCTAAATTGTAGTATATTAAGTATATATTGTCCATATTCAAGGCATTTAACTTGTTTAAATCGCTTAATTAAGTCAATAAAATAATTAATTACCTAATATGATTGCATAATGATATGTTGCATTGTTCCTCATAATTAAATTATACATAAAATCTCATATTTCCTACTAATGACATATTACATTCATTAGAATGAGTGTATTAATTTGGGATTTCTAAATACTTTTTAAGACTCCATAAATCTTAGTGTATTTAATTTCGACTTTTTAAAACTTTTACAAGTCTTGAGTTATTCATTTGGGATTTTTAAAAAATCTTACAAAATCCTAAGATATTTAACTTATTTGAGACCATGATTTGTTAAGACTTTTTAAAATTATTATAATTTATAAAGAAAATACATATAAGAAATCTCGCTCCAAAGGAATACACCCCTAAGTTACATGTTATTCCATCTGTTTTCTATTAAGTATCGTTTTATATTAATTTTTTTATTTTTAATTATTCATTATTTTAGAATATTCATATTCTTCCAATTTATGTAAGATTTTAACTCTTAAAAGATGAGGAAGAGAATGATCAAAATAAAAATGTGGAATATAAGTTCAGTATGGAAAGAATAAGAATAATTATTAGGACAGTAATGAATGAGTCTTATATGGTAAAAGTTATTCTTAGGAAAGTAATGAATGAATACAGAAATTCTATGGAGCCATTGGATGGTTCCCTTATAGAGTCATCCATCACTTAATGTATTGACACATGTCCAAAGTATATTTAGTGTAAAACGCATGTCAATACACTGAATATGTGTGGATGGCTCCATAAGTCGTGTCATCCAATGACTTCATAGCAAAACTGTGAATGAAAAATATATGGTACAAGGAGATTTGCTAGAGAATAAAAAACATACTTATAAAGGGCGAATTAGACATGGCCAAGGGTTGAACCGGCCCGCCGAACCGGCCCGGACCCGGACCGAACCCGGCCCGGACCGGCCCGGAAAAGCCGGTTTTCGGCCCGGAACCGGACATATGGCGGGCCGGTTCCGGGCCTTTTCGATAATAAAAAAACCCGGCGGGCCGGGCCCGGTCCGGGCCGGGTTTACGGGTTCAAGACTCAAAATTCAAAAAAAAAAAAAAA